ATTTTTGGTAGTTAAATAGGGTGTACTTAGTTAATTTTACATTTTAATTTAAACATTAGGGTGTACTTAGATTGTAGGGTGTACTCAGTTAATTTTAGGGTTCGTTTAGCAGCACTCTAAAATTAAACTAAACGTATGGTAGCTGATGTGTTATTTTATAAGTCGTTAGATTATTATAATGACTAAGATGAAGTGAAATGCGTGAATTCTAAATACAAAGGCTCAAGATCTGAACCAAGACATAAGAGAAGATTGGGGTTTGAGGGAAACAAAGGCTTAGATAAAGCCCACTTAACCTAATTTTTATCTGCCGTACACTATTTATATCATTTTCCTTTCCATTTCCCTTTTACTCATATTCAGATCGTCTTATCTTATACATATAAACCAAGATATCTCTTGCATAGTCGGCGTTGTCTATAAATTGCAAATTAAACCTTTTTGCTCACATTTATGAATATCTCATAGTTTCCCGATTATTATAGACATTTCCTACGGATTCCCACGAAAGGTAAGCAGACCCGAATATGAGTAAAAGGGGTACATCATCTTGGTCCCATGGTTTCCCGAATATTCTATAATATCTCCACTATTATAGACACCCATGGTTTCTTGAATATCCCTTTTACTTATATTCGATTCTTTTTATCTTTTTCTCATTGAGTTTTACACAAAAAATTAATTTAGTCACTGAAAAAAAGTTTTAGCCAAATTGGTAATTGTATTTCCCAAAGTTTACAATTTATAGACATTTCGTTATCTTTTGCTAAGTGCCTAGTTTTTATTTTAATTTGTCTAGAAATCATGTTTAGTTTTCTTCCTTTAACTCAACGAGTTAGGGTATATTGTGCTATTAGGGGTTAGCAAATTGGGAGAAGTCTTGAGTTGAAATCAAAATTGTGAGGTATAAAGTCACAAAGTGTATGCTATATTGAAGTCTGAATAGATTGAGTGAGAACCATATTATGATTTTGGATGGCAATAAAACATAATCAAGGTGATAGAATACCAAAATATATCGGTAAGTTATTGATGACTTAAATGCGATGTATAGATACAAATTTGTTATTTGCATATTATTATGTCTTTTCAAGGCTTTCCATCTACTTCATTCCTAGGTAGGTGCAAGAAGAAAACGGAGAAAAGGCCAATGCTTGGGTCCAACCACTAAGGACATTCTCATCCGTACAACCATTACACATGCACAATTTATTTTGGCCAAATTTATTACCAAACACCAATTCTTTGATCATGGGTGCTAAAGTAAACATGTTCTCCCTGACTAGTCACCTAAATATCGTAAATATTAGGCTTAATTGGTGATTTGCCCCATGAACTTATACATATCTTTCGATTTACTCCCTATCCTTTTTATATAAAAAAATTAAGGATATGAACTTTTTTTTTCGCCAATTTCCCCCTGCCATGTAAATCCTCAACATTTCATCCAATTTGCCATTATATATGAGGGCAAATTGGTCATTTCCATGTTAAAATAAAATAAAATAATTTGAAATTTGAAATAATAATCAATAATGATAGAATTAAAGTTTTTATTAAAAAAAAACAAGGAGTAGAGGGAATGTCATCCTCAGACAAACCCCACTCCCTATTAGCCTATGAATTTTTGCTTACCAACCCCACTTTCTATAAGCCTCAGACCAACCATCTTCTTCCCCAAAATCGAACACATCCCATACAACAACACCAAAACCACCACTATATATTTGAACAAAAAAACCCATATGCACATATTTGAACACACACAAAAAACCCAAATCTATTTGATCAAAAACCGCACCAGGGGCAGAGAAGTTGTGGCGAGGTGGGTGTTGGGGGATAGACTTGGGGTTTGGGGGAAGAGAGAGAGTGTGTGTGATGGTTGTGGGGTGGTGGTTGTGGGAAGGTGAGCTGTTGAGAGGGAGAGGGAGGCTGCAATGGGTAAGAGCACTTCTAGCAGTTTGCTCTTTGCCATGGCAAGGGGGGGGGGCTAGGGCAGCTACGATTCACGTAAATAGTGGCTGCCCTTGCAAAAGGTTGTGGTGTTTCCACCCATTGCCATAACAACAACTATTCACAAGAGATATGAGGAGAGAAATTTGTATAGAGTTTTGGTGTGGGAAGTGAAAACTATGACTAAGTATTTATTTTTTAAAAAAAATATGAAATTTTTTGTATTTTTTGTAGATTTTTTCGATTTTTTATAATTTTTTGTTGTTGTTGTTGTTGATGTCATCGCTAACGTTAGCAAATCCAGGCTTGAACTTGAGCTCATCTTGCCTGAGGGCTGGCCTGATTTCGTGGGCCCCAACAGCTACTCTGGCCAGCCCTTGCTGCTGGAAACTGTTTTTTGGCCCAAACCCAACCTCCCCCCCCTCCCCACAGCCTGTGCTGCTGGAAGTGCTCTAAAGGGGTGGTTGTGGGTAGGAGGGGGATGGGTTGCGAATTAGTCTTGGGGTGAGTTGCAGGTGGAGAAGTGGGTAGTCAAGTTGGGGGAGAAAAAGAGAGAGGAGAGGAGAGGAGAGGAGGGGAGGGGGGGGGGGTTGTAGGATAGGTTTGTTTTTGTTTTTGTTTTGTTCCTTTTTCTTTAATTTTTTTCTAAGAAAATAAATTTATTTTTAATGATTTAACAAAAAATTGAATGAAATGTTGATGATATAGACAGCAGGGGGGAAATTGGCGAAAAGAAAAAGTTCATATCCTTAATTTTCTAAAAAAGAAGAATAAAGGGTAAATCAAAACTTAGGTACAATTTCAGTGGGCAAATCACCAATTAACCTTAAATATTATGATATCTTTATCAGTCTCAAAAAGAAAAAAAAAATTATGTTTTTTGTTTTAATATGAAGAAATAACTATATCTCAAAAGAAAAAAGAAGAAGAGATAGCTAAAAAACATGAATAAAGTTCACCAAAAAAAAAAAAAAAAAAACATGAATAAAAAATAAATAAAAATCAATCAACAAGCATTGGTTGTAATAAGTACTGACTAAAGTAATCTCTTGAGTTGATTTAAATGATTAGATTCCGTTTCGAGCTTAGTGAACTAGATCAACTCCGTCTAGTCGGCAACTTAAAACATGCACCCATTAAACTCATTCAAAGAAACACATCGCTTCTGAGTTAATTCAGCCATGGCTTCTCCTCATGACCCTCCAAGATTTTCAGCTTCCGTACCCCACTTCTTCAAGATCATTCTAGAGGACGCTTCTAAAATCAGAATTGTAAGCACCTCTCTCTCTCTCTCTATTACTATGCTAATTATGTTTTCTCTCAACGTGTTCTGTTCTGCAGAAAATTCCAATGAGGTTTTTGATGAAATATGGAGAGAATTTATCAAGTCCAGTACATCTAAAGCTTCCAAGTGGTGCAGAAATGGAAATAGAACTCAGAAGAAGCAACAATGGTGGGGTTTGGTTAGACAAGGGTTGGCCAGAGTTCTCAAAGTTTTGCTCTCTTGACTATGGTAGTTGGCTAGTCTTTGGATATGAAGGCAACTCCAACTTCCATGTGTTTATATTTGATAGAACTGCTACAGAAATTGAATATCCTAAGCCCGATATGGAAGAAACTGATTCTGATTCTGATTCTGATTCTGAAGAAGAAGATGATGCTGATGATGGATCCGTTGAAATCTTGGATGTTTCTGAAGAAGAAGAAGAAGAACAAGATGATGCTGATGATGGATCTGTTGAAATCTTGGATGTTTTTCCACCCTGCCCAAGAAAAGCACGGGAGAAATCTCCATTGCCATGTCCTCAGCCGCACAAAAAAATGAGAACACGTTCGAGTGGAATGATGCTTGAAGAGTCACTGAGAAACAAGGCCTCAGATTGCTCCAAATCAGAAATGAGAAGTAAGGAATATATACTTTTTTTTGCTTCTGTTTCTTACCTTTATTGTAATTTGTCTCATTATGTTCTAGCTTGCAATAAATCCTATTATAATCTTGAACAGAGGAAGATGAATCAGATGACGATTCTGTTGAAACTTTGGACAAGTTTCCCTCTTGCCCTAAAACAGGGGACAAATCTCCATTAGTACCATCAGAGGTCAAAGATGGTGTTGGGAGGATGCATATATCAACTACAAGCGGAAAAGCTATAGCTCTTCAGGGAGCTATTACTTTCAAATCTGTAAACCCTTCTTTCAGGGTTGTCATGCAACCCTCGTATATCAAACAAAGTTTTTTGGTAAGCGTTTCTACAAACAAGTTACAACCGCTACGATCCTATAACTTCAGTCAAAGATGCAAGCATGAAAATAATTAAGAAAAATAACAAAATTAATGCTCTATTTCTTCAAAATCTTGTTACTGTCTTAATTTCCTGTTTTCCATGTCTTTTAAGCCTATGCCATCCGGGTTTGCCAAGAGACATCTTGTTGAGCACCCTGCTGGTAATGCCTTCCTTCGGGTTTCAGATGGAGGAACTTGGTCTGTTAAATTCAAATATGAAAAATCAATAGCTCGATTCCAGTATGGTTGGTTGGGATTTGTAAGGGACAACAATTTGGAAGTGGATGATGTGTGTGTCTTTATCTTGAACGAGGACATCAAACTTTCATTTGATGTTGTCTTTTTCCGGACTACAGAAGAAGCTGTAAATTGCCCCTTGTCTCCAGGTAAACAATCAGCTGTCAGTTTGTGAATTCATTACGTATTCGTTATCTGTTCTTTTGTTTTTAACTTTTGTGAAGCCAGACAACACATCTCTAGGTAAGTGAGGAATGTGCTGAGGTGTGAATTCAGTATATTGTGCACACTTATTGATTATAAGCTTTTTGGTTATTCTAAGATCGGGGAACCACAACTAATCAAGTCAATTCACAAAAATCAGAAATCAAAAGTTTGGAATGTATATTTGTTTTTATTTTTATAGTTAACCTTCTTTTTAATTAAGATGCAACCTTATTTTTCTTGTAATATCCTATTATAATCTTGAACTGGGGAAGATGATCCGCCCACAAAGAAAGATTTAGGAGGCTTGTCTAGCAGTCAAATATTCCTAAAACGAACAACACTAAAAGTGAAAAAGCTCTGGCTCTTCAGAGAGCCAATGATTCTTCAGAAGGCAATGAAAAATGAAGATTCACATTGTTCTAAATTAGAAGCGAAAATAAAGGAACTTATATGATTCTATTTTATTATCTTATTGTGTTTCCTGCATTTCTGTTCTTGCTTGTGATATGCTTGTAAATTTTCACAGGGAGACATGATTTTCCAACTAAAAAAGGTGGTGGAGGCACATCTAGCAATCGAACTGGAAAAGCTACAGCTCGTGACGGAGCGAATGCTTTCAGATCGCAAAACCCTTCTTCTTTTATTGTTTCCATGAGGCCCAGTTACATCAATGGTTGGAGTTTGGTAAGCATTCTATAGGCCACCTGCTGAGCCATAACAAATTCTGTTTACTTATATCGGTTGACTAATCATTAATATTCTCCGCCTTCAAACATTTCCTTGGTTTGCTTTTTTGTTTCAGTGGTTGCCATCCAAGTTTTACAAGCTATCTCCTAGTATTAAGCGTTCCTGTGAAGTCATCCTTCAAGTTTCGAATGGGAGAACTTGGTCTGTTGGTTTGAACAAAGGAAGGACCAAATTCAGATGTGGTTGGATGGACGTTGTGCGTGACAATCATTTGAAAGTTGGTGATGTGTGTGTTTTTGTGTTGATTTCCAGCAAAAGTACACCTTTATTTGATCTTGTCATTTTCCGCTCTAGAGAAGGTGCAAAGTGCACCAGTGATGGGGAGCAAATAGTACCTACGAAGGAAGAAACTGATAATGAAGGTGGGGATTCGAGTGATGATTCTAGTAACGATTCAAGTGATGATTCTGGTGATGAATCGAGTGATGATTCTGGTGATGATTCTGTTGAAATCATGGACAAGTTTCCACCCCCAAGAAAAACAAGGGTGGTGAAAAGATCTTGAAAATCTGGTGAAAGGTCCTTATCAATTGATCTTTGAGTCTTTTTTGTTTATGTAAGTCAGTTAACCAATTGGACATATCAGACTCCTTCCTGTAATTGCAAGATGTATGAGTCCTGTGGTTGTTTTAGTTTCTCCTTTCTTTCCGTACAGAATGTGCTCATGAGATTATCAGCCCTATCAAACTAACAAGGTCCCTTCGTATTCTGAAGCCAATTCACACTTTGTATCATGCACTCATTTAATATGGATGATTCTGTGCAACCAAGGCTATGAATTTCTAAATTTGCTGACTAAACTTAATATTCAAATTTTACCTTCATTTCCTGGCATTAGAATTTGATTCGAGAGTGGCAGTACTGACGTTTGTTTGAGTTGTTTGGGGTTCTGCATTAATTTTACTCGTTTAACTTCACCCTAAATAACCAAGTAAATACAGCTCTCTTCCATATACTGGTGGCAAAGCTTTGAAGCACATTTGAAGATCAACTATGGCTTCTTTTACCTGGGAAATTGATGACCGGCCAGGGTTTTCCCCTGACACTCACAGAGTACTTCTAGAGACAGCAAACTTGTAAGCATTTCTGTCTCTGTCTCTGTCTCTCTCTGTGGCTGGTCGTACATGTGTGCTGCTGCATGAAGGTTGAAAAAATGAGTCTCCATTTCTCATGTGTGTAAAAAGTGTTTACTGTAGTTATGTTATGATTGAGATGATTCACTTCTTGGCCACCAAAAAATCAGATAAATTCTTTTACTTTACGAACATTTACTTCAAATGTTTCTGTTGTGCAGAGGGTTCCAAAGAAATCTGTGATGAAATATGGTGAAGATCTATCAAATCCAGTATATCTTGAGCTTCCAAGTGGGTCAGAATGGAAAGTGTAACTCAGAAAAGGGATGGTGAGGTTTGGTTTGACAAAGGTTGGCCAGAGTTTTCTGTAGACAACGGTCACTGTCTTGTTTTCTGATATGAATGGGATTCGAAATTTCATGCTTGCATATTTCCTAGAAGTTGCACAGAAATTAACTATCCATTAACAAGGCTCCTGATGGAAGAAACTGATGAAGATGATGATTCTGATGATTCAAAAGATGATTGTGATGATGATGATTCTTCAGATGATGCTTCTGTGGAAATCTGAGACAATTTTCCACAATGCCCAAGAAAAGCAAGGGAGAAATCTCCATTGCCATGTCATAGGCCTCACCAAAAGAGTAGAACAAGTTCAAGTGGTAAAACAGAAACCAACGTCAACTTGCACAATGTGGTTCCATTTTTTATTAGACCAAGAAACTCTCAACCTTTTGAAATGATATTTGAGAAGTCAAGGTTCCATATTGTCTTCTGCATTCTGTTCTTGCGTCTAATATCTTATGGTAATCTTTTTACAGGTAAATATGGTTTTCTTGCCTAAAAAAAAGACGGCGGAGGCACGTCTAGCACTAGAAGATTCCAAAAACGTTACCTAGGTTTCTTGAGAGGATGCATCCATCGACTAAAAGTGATTATGAAGATGATGATTCAGTTGAAATCTTGGATGATTTTCCACCCTGCCCTAAAAACAGAGAGATCTCCAATAACACCACTGGCCCAAAAGAAAAAGAGAACGACTTAAAGTCGTAGCTGGTCCTGAGTTTTTTTGGAGCCAGTCGCTTAATTTCTAGGTTTTTTTTTTGGTCGAAATTTCTAGTTGATTACTAAAGTTTAATGTGAATATGTAACATTTTTGGTTAGCAAAATGGGATTTTATTTTATTTATTTCTAAAATTCGGTTTGTCATTCATTCTACAAGCACATGTATTTGTACTGTCCAGCATCTGTGGTGCAGCCATGGGTCTAGATTTATGTCCAGCTTAATGGTTTTTTTACGTAGATTGGACATTTCACTAATATTGGTAAAAAAAGAAAAGAAAGATATTTAGTTATATATCTATTCTTAGCACTACTGATATAAATAAACTCTACACTATTTAATTTTTATAAACAAAAATAAAAACCCAAAAAATAACAACTGACCTTTTGAATTTAATTTTGATTGTTAAATTATTTTAATACCCTATTGAGTGTTTTGGATTTTTTTATTATGAGGTTTTGGGGTTGGGCTTATTTTAAGAAATCGATGACAGTTTTGTAATTTATAGAAAATTTGAAGCCTCTTTATTATGTTGTAAATGAGATTTGGATGTGTTTTTAAAGTCTATTTCATGTGAGATTTTTTTAATAATTTGGGCCCCTACATTAGGTATAATAGTGAATCTCAAAAAACCAAAAAAAGCCTTCAAGTATATTTTTTAACAAAATTAAAAGCATATGACCAATCCTGGTATATTGGGTAAATTGGCCATTGATGATTTTAGACCTTTTTATGTGTTTTTGCTGGGAAGTAATGGGGTTAATTGGTTGGTGTTTCCTAACTTCTATTCTGTAGGCCATGGACACCTGTTAGCATTCAGATATGAAGCCCATTCCCATTTCCATGCATATACTCGTATTTAAATAAGCCATCTCACAAATTCCATCTTCAAGAGGGATAATCTTTCTTGCATTTCCTGAATATTATTGGCTCCATAGATTCAACCTAATTGAAGGTCAGTGGCTGTCAAATTTGCATTTTTGCCCATTTATGCCTCAAATACGTGATCTATGATCTCGATTTGAATGAAATTAGATGTTGTGCATATTGGAAGTTGTTTGTGCCTAATAAATCACGGCCATGAACTGATCGAATGAGCCCCTTTTCTCGGCCCTAACACTTGCTCGTGAAACTAAAACGTGGCGTTTTGCCAAGATGTTTGGCCTTCCTAAAAAAGCAAAGGAAAAGTTGCGAAGGCATGATTATCTTGGCCTTGATTATAGGCCGAGGCTGAAGCCGAACAAAATCACGGCCAAAGGTATTAAAGTCAGATCATCAAGTGGCAGCAGGGTCCCACGCTTCATTTAATGAAGCAATGCCTCTGTTTATTGCAGCAAACCCACTGGCCACGAATAAGCATTTAATGCACAAGGGAATGTGGGAAGTGATTGAAGTCAGGATTTGGTGATAGGAATCAGAGTGATTAGACGCAGACATTCTCACAAGAATTCTTGCAGCTTGAGAGATTAGGTCACCAACTATCAGAACAAAAAATGCGTCTCCACGGCCAGAAGCGCAGAATCCACGATCAGGGCGGCGGCCGAGATTCACCAGGATTTATGGGGTCACACCACCATACTTCACGATCCCAAATGTCGATTAGACTAATAAAAATAACGCTACGGCCATTATGACGGCCCCTCCGCCAAGGACCAAGAAGGAGCTCCAGTCCTTCCTCGGTAAGGTCAACTTTTTAAGACGGTTCATATCTAATTTGGCAGGGAAAATCCGGCCGTTTACCCCTCTACTCAAACTGAAAGACACGGAACGGTTCGTATGGGGAGTAAAACATCAAGCGGCCCTCGACGATATCAAGAAATATTTATCTCAACCACCAGTCCTTATGCCGCTGAAAAGAGGGAAACCCTTGAGGATTTATGGGGTCACACCACCATACTTCATGATCCCAAATGTCGATTAGACTACCCACTTGCTCTAATCAGGCTCCACCGTGCAGATTTTTAACCTCGATTACTCCTTCAAGAACTCTTCCTATAAATATAAGGCTCAAGCTACATTCAAATGGTTCAAACACCAAACAAAAGCCTCCCACGGAGCAAATTATATTTTCCTGTAATGCACTTTCAATATTTTCCTAGGAGTAGCGTTAGATTGTAAGGAAAATCCATTCATCAATATATCATACGACCCTTGATTTTCAAGGCGTCGGAGCACCATTTATGTTACTCATTCATTCACCCCATATATCATACGACCGTCGCTCACTGAGCAGCGCGCCGGAGCACCGCCCAAAACCCACCATTTTCACCAGCCCTAAACGGCCTTGTAGCTCAGGCCGTGAACCTAACAGTCGAGATCAGTTCCTCTCTCGGCTACAATCGTTTGATTAGAAGACGAGTTCAAACAGGCGCACCACCTGACCATTCTATCCACATCAACATCTCGACGCACGGTAGACTGTGCTGGCACGCCCGCGCACAACCGCACCGCATTCAAAAGCAGAAAGCCACGTGTTAACGCACATCCCCTGGGCCCGGAACCCCAGGCCGTGAGATTTGCGCAGCCGACAGAAGTTTGAAAGCAAATGTCCCACATTGGAGGAAACAAAAGGTTTTATAAGCATGGAACCTTAACACCAATTGAATAAGATTGGAGGGTTGATGGGCTTGGTAGTGAAAGTTGTACATGGTTAGCTTGCTTGATTAATAATAATATTTAAATAATAAAAGAAATACACCTAGCCCAAAAATAAAATAAAAAAATTTGTTTTAGTTTTTGGATTTCTTTTAGCAGAAGTTAAATTCAAACCAAAAGTCTTATCTTTTCGTTCGAATTTGAACATGTATAATTGATACTAACTGCTATTTTGAAGGGGTGCAATTGTGGTATAAAACCACAAGTCCTAAGCCATAATACGATAATCTTTTTCGAACTATTTCATACTGCTTTAAAAATTACATACTGTATTGGAGAGAGAAGCAGACCAAAGTTCACCATAATTCAAGAATCCGGTGCTGGATCCTTGAGTTATAGATAGTTGAATTCTGGGAGATAGACGCCTGTTGAACTTCAAGCATTGAGGAGAGGCGAAATTCTGTCTTTAGGACATTGCGAATTTGCAAGCCTCTATCTTCAATAAAAGTCAGTATTCTATACTTAATTTATACTTACACATTTATACAATTTTAGTATTTTGCTACTGTCTACATTTCATAATTGTGTATTAATATAGTGATTCTATAATAAAGATATAGTCAATGGGAGAATCTGTAAGTGGCGTGAAGTTGACTGATATAGTCAATGTCAATGACGTCAAAACTCATGTTAAGGAACCAGAGAAGTTCAAAGGGGTGGATTTCAAATGCTAGCAGCGAAAAATGTTGTTTTACTTGACAACACTGAATTTGGCTTATGTAGTCAAAGAGGAAGTTCCTGTGGCAACAGAGAACCTGATACCTGCAAATAAATTAAATGCTATTAATGCTTGGAAACATTCTGAGTTTCTCTACAGGAATTACATTCTTAGTTCATTGGATGACACCTTGTATGATGTTTCTTCTTCATACAAGACTACCAAGTGTCACGGCCCGCATGTTGAAGGCTCAACCCAAAAATTATGGGGCCAACCTAGAGGATCCATTTGCGAAGGTCAAGACCCACAAGATCATGCTAGACCTTTTAGCCCACATGTCTAGATTCAATGTACAGTAGTAGGTAGACTCCGGATGGTGACAGTAGTAGATAGATTCCGGTTGATGACATTGTATCTTAGCCCCTATTGTGGTGGTAGGTGGGATAGGATCTCTATATAAAGAGGATGTCTCATTGTGTATCCTTACCTCACAACTTGTAAAACATTGAGTAGGAATACAAGCGTATATTCTCCCAAACTCTCTTGTGCGTTCTTATCGTTTTTGCTCTTGCTTTCGTGTTCTTGCTTGGTTCAATCTTATTTTGTAGGAAGGAAGGCTGACTTAGCTTATTCGAGAGGCGATCAAGTCTAAGGCCGCACAGAAGGAAAGCAGACGGCTCCGCGGAGGCCGAGAGCGACGAAGTAGAGATGAGTTCAGCCTAAGTCAGCATAGACAAACCGTTCGTCTGCAAAGGACTTATCAAGGCCGACAATAGCTGTACAAAAATTCCCGACGCCAAGTTTGCGACTCGGGAAACGAAGGCCTACACTTTTGACTTGATGAGGGTCGAAGCTATCTTTGACCTGCTATTGGCCGAAAAAAAGGTCAAGTTGTCATTCGGCCATAAAATTCTGAAGCCC